CACACACACACACACACACACACACACACACACACACACACACACACACACTCATAGAGAATCTACATTAGCCCAGGCGATTCCAAAGGCAACTACAAAGTTACTTAATACAACCAGGGAGGAAGTAGCATCTGGGGAGTACAGGTTCTTTGCTTCTCTTCAATGTTTATGCTTACAGCCCTCCGCATCCTTCTTTACTTGATGGGCCACCCCATGCAGAAAGAATTACATCAGTTTTCCATCTGAGAAACCCAAGGCTCAAAGAGGCTACGGACGGCTGGATTGTGGCTTGTCTAGCATGCTGCAGGCCTTGGGTTCCATTGCCAGCACAGAAAAAGGCTGTCTGGGGATCACAGAGCAGAGGCAGAACTGGAGCCTGAGCCCCCTGCGTCCAGGACTTTCCCTAGCCGGCAGACCTCTTTCAAAGAAGAAAGCTCCAATCGGGAGAGAGTTTGGATGGCGAGATGTGCAGCACCATTACCTGGCAGCCTGAACTTCTGAAGGAGGGGGATGAAGCCCTGAAGTACGCTGTGGATCCGGTACACTGCTCAGAGAAGCAAGGGGAAATGTTGGTCAGGATGGCGGCCCCTGGAGGACCCCAGGGTCAGGCTCCTTCCCTGCCGCCCCAGGACCGAGGCACACCCCACGCAAACAAAGCCCTGACATGCAATTTTAGGCTAACGTCAATAACAGTGCTGTGGTTATTACGCGGAAAAGAGTCACAGGCAGTAATAACAGGGACAGGAAACCCGGCGACCTTGATGCCTGGCTCCACCAGCTTGTTTTCAGTATCTGAGGAGCTATGCGTGTTTACTACTTTAAACTGTTTTTGTGGGACTTCCCCCTTTTTCCACAAGCTTCTGCCAAGGACCTTTCACTGACCTCACATGCGGTCAGGAAGAAAACACAAACATAAGGAATGTACTTTTTTAAAAAGTTTAGCTCATGACTCTTGGCGAATGTGACGGCGGGTCCAGCAACCACCTCTCCCCCCAGGAGCCTGCGGGTCTGTGTAGCTTTTTTGATAGGACCACTTACCCAGCCCGAAGTAGATGCCGATGGTCTCTAGGGAGGCGAAGGTGAGCAGGCCGACCCCGAGGGACATGAACCAGTCTTCAAGGGCAGCGAGGAAAGAACAGTCAGCCTTTGGGTTGTAAGTCAGTGCCCTGTCCTCCCATGCAGCCCCGCCCAAGGTCCCCAGGGATCCTCACCTGCATAGTAGTGATAACACACCAGCAAGGACCCAATGGCAAAGCAAAGGAGAACGAAATGGAAAAACTCATCTGCAAGAAAGGGGTGGAGGTTAGCTCTCTCTCTCTCTCTCTGTCTCTCTCTCTCTCTCTGTTTCTGTCTGTCTGTCTCTCTCTCTCTCCCCCTACTCCATCCCACCCCATCACCACAACCCTCTCATTTTATTTTTTGCTTTGTTTTTCAACACAAGGTCTCCGTGCAGCCCAGGGTGGTTACTTTCAACTTGAGATTCTTCTGCTCCAGCCTTCAGGGTTACAGGTGTGTACCAAGATACCCTGCCTGTTCTCGTTTTTTTATTTGTGTGTGTGTGGTGATTGTTTGTTTGTTTGTTTTACTCTGTAACCCTAGATGATTTAAAACTCTCTGTGTAGACCAAGCTGGCCTCGAACTCACAGAGACCCACCTGCCTCTGCCTCCAGAGTCCAGGGATTAAAGATGTATGCCATGATGCCCACCATGATGCCCAGCTACTTATTTATGTATTTGAGATAGTGTTTCACTATGTCACCCTGGCTGGCCTGGAACTCACAGAATCCAACTGCCTCTGCCAGCCTAGTGCTGGGATTAAAGGTATGTACCACCATGACCAACTGTACTATTTTTTATTTTATTTGTGTATGGGTGCATGCATGCCCCCCCCCATGAGTGGGCATCAAGTACCCACAGAAGTCAGAAGGGGGCATCAGATCCCTTGGAACCAGAGTTATAGGAATTTGTGAGAGACCTGATATGGGTGCTGGGATCCAAAACTCCACTCCTCTAACAAAAGAGAAATGTACTTAACCACTGAACCATCCATCCAGCCTCCTCTTGTTTTACAAACGACAGTATTGCTGCTCCTGACCAGCCAGTGTTAAATAGCACCCCTTTTCAGCTCTATGTCTCTTCATTGTTTTTGGAACATGTACAGCCACGCAGCTTGGGTTTTATTTCTGCGTTTATCAGTCCCCGAGCTCTAGGTCTTAGAGAAGGAGGGTCCCAGTCAGTCTCCTGCCCGAGAAAACTCAGTAGTTAGAGCAGCCATACAAGGGTGCTCAGGAATTAATTTGTTGAGTGAGCATTAAAAAACGATTGTAAAATGTGCAAGGTCACCAAGTGCAAAGTTCTGAGGCTAACGGGCACGAGAGAAGCTGGACCTTGGGGTACTAGGCAGTGAGGGTAAGGATGTCACCAGGGTCAATGGTGGCTCCCTGCTTCCTCAGACAAGGGGGATACAAAAGAGAGTTTAAGGGAAGTCAGGAGAGGAGGTACACACTGTGATCCCAGTACTGGGGAGGCTGAGGCAAAAGGACCCGAAGTTTGAGGTCAGTCCGGGTTGCACAGGAAGGGTGATGGAGACAGAATAAAACACTGTCTCCCACATACTAACCAAAACAAAGCCAGCCTAGAACAGAGCGAGCAAACGCTGCTGCCGCCCGGGGAAGCGTCTTTCTCAAGGGCAATGAGCAAGGCCAAGGCTAAACCAAAGTCCCAGGCGTCCAGAGACAGAGGGGGATTGCCTTCTTCCTTTGGAGCATAACGCGCCCTGCACGTCTCCAAGCAAGCTGGATGTGGCCTGTGCTTTGAGACTCTGGATTTCAGTCCAATGAGCCTTCTTATGCCCCACCTCCACCCCAGCCAAACAGGTCAGGGACCAAGGCTAAGACAGAGTGCTTAAAGCCCAGGTGTCTTCTTCCCCCCAAAATAGGAGTGTGTGAAGTAGCTCAAGATTTTTCTAGAACAGCTACCACTTGTTTAATCAAAAAATGTGAGGGGCTAGAGACATGACTCAGCCCTGAGTATCGCTATTGCAGAAATCCAAGTTGGATTCACAGCACCTATCTCTACCAGCTCCAGGGGCTCTGACACCCTCTTCTGGTCTCCTTAGGTACATGTACTCAAATAAAAAAAATTTTTTTTTAACCTTTAAAAACAAAAAACCAAGTCTCCCTTTCCTACCCCCACGGTCTTCCAGGCTTGGAGCAGATGAAGGCCTGAAGGTCTCATCACTTCTTTAGTAGAACTTCATGAATCCCAAAATCTAACTAAGTCCCCCCATCGGGCACGAGAAACATTTATCTCCCAGGGAGCGTATGACTGGGTGTCCAGCCCAGGTCATTCCCTTCAGTTAGCTGTAAGGCCCGCACCAACCAGGGGGTTCAGTGGCTTCTACATGAAAAGATAGGCGTCACTGCTTGTAAACCTCCCCCCACCCCCACTCCTAGGTGAGATCAGAGCTGAGGACTTTGCTAGCTGTGGGGTCCAAGAAAGAGGTGATTAGGGTTACTATCATTCTAACTGCCAGCCATCTTACATGCACAGAAATCTGGACCAGCCAGGTGAGCTCGGCTCCTGAACACCGACTTACCGTCCTTCTTTATGTTCAGCCTTTGTAACTGGGAGGCCTCCACTTCTCCTTCAGAATGAAAGAGAGAGAGAGAGATGTGTTTTGTAGATTGCCGCTCTAAACTTGGAGACTTGGTTGCTGGGTGTTTGTGTGTGTGTCAGCCAGTGCTCACACAGGAGCGACAGGCAGGACCCTGAAGGTAGGGATAGCTGTCCCCGGGACCCTCGCTGACTTCCTCATCCCTCTATAGGCCTAGCCCTGTTCTTCCTTCCATTTCCTCGATGATGGAGCCTTCTTTCTGAATTATGTGGGTGTTGAGATCCCTGCTAAAACTGGCCCACTCTCTCAGACAGACCATTCCTGGTCCTCTCTGGCCCCTCTGGAATCCACACAGCCTCCGGCTGTCCTTGGAGCTTATGTATTTACCCCCTGCTGAGCCGGAACCTCTCCTTCGGAGTCCTAGAAATGAGAAACTCAGTGTTAGTGCCAGGTTGGTCAAGGCTCCTTGCCAGGGGCTTTCATCCCCATGACTAGTCACTAAAAAAGGCAGTGGTGCACACCTTCAATCCCAGCACTCGGGAGGCAGAGCCAGGTGGATCTCTGTGAGTTTGAGGCCAGCCTGGTCTACAGAGCAAGATCTAGGACAGTAGGACAGGCACCAAAACTACATGGAGTAAAGAAAAGGCTCTAGGTAATTCTCCAGCCATGGGATCCAAGGGACCTCTCCTAGCTGGCAGATGTCTGCTTCCTCTTGCCTGGACCCCCATTCCAATGCCCCACCACTCCTCTCATGCCTGTTGCATGCAGTCAGGTCCCTAAGTGGCCCTGGAGTTCCCATGTCTCACGGCCAGGACCCTAGAGAGCCTCATCAGAACAACACCCAGACCTCACTGAATTCCAGTATCCTTGACTCCCTCCCCTTCCTGGGTACTCACCTGTCTCCCCAGCAAGCACCATTTCCCCAGCATCACCTGCATGGAAGGAGAATCAGTGAGCACATACATGATGGTGCTCTCCTGAGAAGGGGCACTTTGGAGGAAGGTAGGGCCGACTTGGAGACTTAACGCTGATCTGGTGTAGGCTGGGTGGGGACCAGAGCAGGCTGAAGGGCTCCTGCTCCATCTAATGAGCAGTCACCCGCCCCCCTTCAAGCCATGAAAAACTAGTACTTTT